GCAGCACAAGGTAAGCAATATGGCTGGGAGAGAGCAGGAACCAGAGCTCATCTGTTGTCCACTCCTTTGCGCAGTCACTCAAACGCCATCTCCTGGGCATCTACACTGTGCGGAGTGCTGAGCATACAGAGATAAACACAGTTGACCCCTGCTCTCTGGAAACTCACAGCCTAGGGGAGAAGGCAGCCACAGGCCATAGGACATGGTTTAGGTGGCACAAGACAGACCAGAATAACAGTGGCTCAAATGAGACAGGTTACTCTCCTTCACATGGAAGTCCAGGCTTGTCTGGCAACTCAATCCCACAAAGCCACCGGGGGCCCAGGCCCCTCCTATCTCGTTGCTCGCTACATTCAAAAGTGAGAAACGGAGCTGGGATGAGCGATATCTGTGCCAACCATCGTAAAGCCTGGGAAAGAAGTAAGCAACAGGGAGTGTGCAGTGCATGGGGAATGTTCTGGCAGGTCCCGGGCCAGGCCACCTTGGGCTCAGTTTCACTATTATGCGGGAAAGTTGGGTCTGCTTAGATGCTAGACACGGGACAGGCAGTGGGAGCAGAGGAATCCAAGCGGAGGAACAGATCTGAAAGAAACCAAGGAGATGGAATCGACAGGACTTGGTCCCAAATGGATGAAGGAGGTAAGGGCGAGGGAGAAGGCACCCATCCAGCCTGAGCAGCAGGATGATGCCAATGCCACACGCCAGGGGAATGACAGGGAGGAAGAACAGGGGACACTGAGTATGAGGTGAGCTGGTGGGGTGGGGAGCCCTTAACGGAGCTGCCAGGAAGCAGCTGGAGGTGGGTGAGGAGTGCTGGACGTGGGCTGTGGGTTTGCACTGGATAGTCATCATTGACAAGACAGAAACTGGAGCTCGAGAGGGACACGTTCACCCCAGGAGAAGTGCTCAGCACAGTGACTTTCTACCTTGCATGCACACCCCGAAGTGTCAGGGAACTTCTATAAATAGAATGGGAGACTGGGATTCCCTATGCCCCTACTCTGACCACAAGGAGTTTCTGACTCACTCTCTAAGGTGGGGAGCCCCTATCTGTGACTCTGGGTTCTTTTATTTGTGAGAGAAGGCACCCAACTCAAACTAGCTTGAGCAAAAATGACTCCTGTAATTGAAAAGTGCAGGCATGGGTGAGCTTCAGGCACAGTTTGATCCAGGAGTTTAAATAACATCTTCAGGACTCAGTCTCTCTGCACCTCTGCTTGCCTCCATGCTCGCTTCATGTTCAGGTAAGATCTTTATGAATCATGGCAAGATGCCTCCTGCAGCTCTGGTTGGTACTCTCTTAAAAAGCCCTTCCCAATCTTAGAAGGTAAGAGCCGGGCATGGGGTCAGTCCCATCAGAGCCACATGGACTGAGAGTAAGGGGTCCCCCAGGGGAAACTGAGCCACAGTTATGGGGAGAAGTGAGAATAGGTTCTGGAGATAAAACAACAGGGATCCGCGCTCCTGTGGCCTCTACAGGTGATTCTGATGTGCAGTCAGATTAAGAGCTGTGGGGAGCACAGCCCAGCAGAGTCTCTGTGACTATCCCGAGGAGACGTAACCCCCATTTTGACCCAGGGAGAGGGAGAGGAGTCTTCAGGAAGGACTAAAAATCAGGCCGGAGGGACAGGAGTAGACGAAGCAGTGGGCTCTCAGAATCTGGGATGGTAACAGCTTCAGGAAGTGGGAGGTCGATGCTGTCAAAGCCCCAAACAAGGAGAAAAGAAGTGGCAATGATAGGATTTTCAGGTGCAGAGAGCTGATGAGCAAAGGGTGGACGTTCTGACAGCGAGTCCAGCAGGAGCAAATACAGGGAAGCAGACAAACACAGAAAATACTTGATGAATAGCACAGCCTATGTGCATAGGAGCATTTTTTCCTTAACTCTCTGTCCTGGTACCCAGAATATCTCTTTTTCTCTAGGAGTAGAAGCATGGCCATAGAGCAAGTTCAAAGTCTTTGGGTTAACGTTGAAAGCCTTCTTCTTGGTACAAACAAGAAATACTTCCTGAGCTACAAGACCCCTTCCCTTCTTCCTGGGAATCCCCAAAGGACTTTCTTGTAGCCTGTGCACTGTTTTGTGGATTTTCACTGTTCTGCTTCATGTGGCTATTGTTTTTGCACATATCCAATCTTCCCCGCTGGATTTTGAGCTCCTGGAAAGTAGGGTCTTTTCAGCCCCATGTCCCTGGGTCCCAGCCCCAACTTCTGCAGAAAGAGCATTCAAGATGAACCCAGTTCCTCTGTGCCTGTGGTACCGCAATGCTTCACTGGAAGGTGGAATTCCCCAGAACATGCAGGGAGAAGGGAAGGGACATCTGGGGATAGGGCCCCCCACTCAGCTGCTACCCCCAGTCATGGAAAAATGGAGACTGTGACTCATTTGCTTTCTCTTGGGACTGACATTTCTTTCTGTTTCACAACTGGGAGCCCAGAAGTGGCTGCATCTTGGCTGGGACGAGCAAGCCTGAATCCTAAAGAAGAAGCAGATACCATTTCTGAGAGCCTGCTCTGTTTCGGGCACCATTGAGTGCTTTACCGGTATCACCTCATTAAGTTCCCCAAGCTTGACACCACTGTGATTTAGACTCAGGTTTCTCTGATTCTAGAGTCCCCTGGAAGACCCCAAGGCTCAGACATATGAGTTGGGATGCTGGGGTCAGGCTAGCCCTGCACGTCCTTCCTTGTTTCCAGCCAGGGAGGATGCTCCAGCCCCAAATCAGAGGTTTCACTGCCTTAGCATTCCTGAGAGCTCCTTAAGTCCTGAAAGGGGAAAGATCAGCCTGTGGAAGGTGGAAGGAATGAAACTAGACCCCCCCGCCCAGGTTCAGTCCCTCCATTCCCACTTGTCTGGGGGTGGGGTGGGGGTGGGGGTGGGGGTAGAGGATCCAAGTCCCCCAATCTCTGGCACCTTATTTTAGTGCAGAAATTCTCTGGCGCCCCCTGGTGGTCTCCAACGCCAGCGTGTTCTCTCAGGGATTGTGTGCACAGCCCAGTGGAGACATCCATCACGGGTGGGGAAACATGGGTTTCCCACATCAAGGAAATGCTAGAGCTGGCACTGACCTGGCCACCAGCGCTTTCCACAGCATCACTTTCTAACCCTGTAGTCCTCCGTGCGGCTGACTGACCCAGCAGGCGAGGCTATAGCATCGATTACATATGAGTACTACCTTACCACGTTACTCTATTAAATGTGCCACACTGTTAGGTGTGCCCTGATACTCTGTTATATATCGGGCCCCACCAAGTCAATATATACAATGTGAAGTTGGCACAGCTGTTATTCTAAAATGGAATCACAACACTCTTGTCACCCCCACCGGCATTTCACATCCCAAAGGCCAGCCTTTCATCCCCTGCCCACTGTTCCTGGGAGGTGGGCTTTCTCCAGGAACTCCGTCCCACCACCTCATTTGCAGGAATGTCTAGAGGCGCAGGGAGATAAGGTGTTGGGATACAATGTTACTTAAAGTGGGGGAGGTGACAAGAGAGGAAACTACAAAATGCCCTCCAGCCACCAGTTTTTCTTGACCGGAGCCTAAGAAATGACTGCAGGAAGGAGCGGGGTTAGCAAAGGACTCTTGCACGGGGAGGGAGTCTGAGTGAGTGTAAGAAGTGCTCACCTTCCTTCGATGGCTGGGCTGTTTGGGCCGGCTGCTCTGATGGCAGAGGGATGGAGTGGGTCTCAGATCAGTGCCAGGCAGGAAGGAGAGGAATCAGGAACTGACTCTTAGATACCGTGGAATGAAACTTTCTGCTCAGTTTTATTCTCCTGTACCTTGTTATGTCTTAGTCCTGAAAGAGAGAAAAGAAGGTCAGTTCCGCTGCCACCTGGAGGGCTGACTTTTCACCCCAGAGTAAAGATGTTAAAGATGTAGTAGGTGGAATGAGCCCCCGCCAAAGCCTTGGGGCTGCAGGGCGCAGGAGGTACAGAGCCCAATGTGAAACTGATTTGGGGTGAGAGGGAGGGGATGAGACCCAAGACACCTGGGGGTGGGAGCAATGGTGGCCGAAGGGATTTAGATCGTCCTGCTGAAGATCTAGAAATCCATCCAGGTGCCCGACAAGAACACAGCCACGCTCCTTGGAGGATCCCTAAGGCTGCCTTTGCCAACTTTTCGGAAAGCAGAGTGATTCTGGCCCTGTGACTTTGGTGGAAGGCAAAGAGGGCCCTCGGTGTGAATCCGGAGAAAGGGAGAGAAGTAAAGCCCCCGCTCCACCCCACACCCCCTTCCTGCCTATAAATAACCCCAAGTGTCACTTCAAAGGGGACAAGGAGCGCGGGAGAGGGGCTCCCGGGCCGGCGGGTTGGGGCGGCGGGCCCAGCACACCACGCCCCCCACCCCGGGCGAGTTTGCATAAATAAATAAATCCAAACCGTCGGCCCCCGTAGGAGGTGGAGGAGAAGAGGGGAGGAGGAGGAGGAGGAGGAGGAGGAGGGAGGGAGGGGGGTGGGAGAGATTAGTTTGGGAAGTAGCACGGATTGCTCATCCGATCCGTTCAGCCACAGCTAGTGTGTCAAGTTACAGAGGCGCCGGAATCGGCCCCAACGCTCCTCGGCAGCGGCCACGACCCACCTCTGCCCATGGGGCCCTCCATGCGCGCCCCTTCGCCGCGGGACTGAAACCGGCTCGCCCGCGAGACGCGAGACACCAAGAAGGACGGACAGCGCAGGACCAACTCCAGGACTCTGCCAACACTTGAAGGGAAAAACGGGGCGGAGAGAAGGAGAGCCGTCCAGATTCCCCTAACTTTCCTGGACTTGGAACATTCTTCGAAGTAACTTTCTTCTCACCTGGGTGCACCCCGATTACGGCTGGTTGTGGTTTTTTTTTTTTTGGCTTTTCCCCTCCTGCCGCTAATTTTTCCATCCTCTGCTGGGAGCAAAGGAAAGGGGCATTTTCCCCCTGCCAGCAGCTCGGATCGCGCCTCGGGGCAGCGGCTCTCGCCTTTATTTATTCTATTTATTTATTTATTGGTTCTCAAGACGCGAGGGGATGGTAGCGGAGCGCGCCCGCAAAGCGGCAGCAGCCGGTGCCCGCGGCCCCGGGGAGCCGGGCGCGCCCGCGGCGGTGGCGCCGGCCGAGCGCTGCGCGCGGCTGCCGAGCCCGGGGTCGTGCGGGCTGCTGGCGCTGGCCCTGTGCTCGCTGGCGCTCAGCCTGCTCGCCCACTTTCGGACCGCCGAGCTGCAGGCCCGGGTGCTGCGCCTGGAAGCGGAGCGTGGGGAGCAGCAAATGGAGACGGCTATTTTGGGACGAGTCAACCAACTGCTGGATGAGGTCTGTGCTCTTTGTTGCTGGCTTTTATCCCTCCCCGCGGCGCCCCCTCGCGCAGCCTCCAAACTTTCGGCCAGCGGGCGCGCCCGCGGGCGCTTGCTCTCCTCCCGGCGGCGCGGAGCGCCCGGGCCCCGCAGGGGCTGTCTGCGGGTGGGTGGGGGCGGGGACGGACGCTGCCCTGCGGGGCCTCAGAGGACCCCGAGGACCCCGGCGGCTTGCGTGGGACCCCTCAGCTCCCGCGGCCCGCAGGCGCCCCCCACGGCCCGCGCTGAGAGCGCCTGGGCGCGCGGGGCAGGTGGAGGAAGGCGAGGCGCGCGCGGAGGCTGCCAGGCCCCACTTCTCCCGCCCGGCACCCCGCCAGGGCCGTGTGAGGGCCGCCCAGCGCCCACGCGGCGGGATGTGTGCCCGGTGGCCCCGGCGGAAGCTTGATGGGCCCTCGCGGCCCTCGCATCCATCCCTTGAGGATCAGCGTTGCCTGATTTGTATTGCCATGTTCAGCGGGGAAGAGAGAGTGAGGGAGTGAGTCATCCAAGGGGCTGAGGGGGACAGACGGGGCTGTCCTTGCAGGGAGTGGTGTCCTCGTCCCTGCCCACTGCCCCAGACCGCTAGGGCCCAGGTGTGGATCTCCCTGATTCTGCTGTCCTGGAGCTCAAATAAGCCCATACCCTCTTGTTTCTAAGCCACGTTTCCTCTCCCTGGTCCCCTCGAATTCGGGTCCCCATCATTTTATGTTTGTGTGTTTTTCTGGGAAGAGGATGCTGAGCTTTCCCCCCTTTTGAAATGTCCTTGAACCTAAGTGGCTTAAAAGCCTTTAGTGTTGTTTAGCCATGGCGATCTTAGGAGTACATGAGGAGAGCTCGCCCCCCCCCCCGCCCTCCCAAGGAAGGAGGGACAGGCAGCCTTATTGGTGCCACCAGAGGAAGAACTGGCCAGTTCGAGTGGGAGTCCTGGGGACTCAGGAGACTTGGAACAGCACAAGGGATCCAGGGCCCAAATGAAGGAGAGACCCACCGGCGAGGGTTGCAGTGGTCTGGGAAGAGGTTCTAGAACGGGCTGGCCAAGGAAGGTTTCCCCGAGGAAGAACTGGGAGGGGAACTCTTCCTTCGTCCGAGGGGCCGTGGAACAGTAAAGAGCAGGGAGAAGGTTTTTATCCCCACTCTGCTACTTAGAAGCTATGCGACCTGCAGCAAATACCCTTACCCCTCTGAGCTGGCAAACTGGTTGAGATGGTGGTTAGCATGGGAACCCGGCTCTAACTGTGGTGGGCGCTGTGGCCATTCTGACCCGAGGCTCCGGTGCCCTGCAGCCGGGCTCCTCTCGGGTTCTGCTGCCAGGCAAAGGCTCTCTGGTGTGGTCAAGGAGAGGGAGGTCACAGGACCAGGGCAGAGAGGGTGGTCCCAGTGCTGCCGGCAGCTCATTCCCATGCCCTGCCAGGACCCAGGGGATCCAGGACTCTGCCAGGCCACCCGCAAGTCCCCTGGGAAGTGTCTGCGCTCAGCAGCGCTAGCCAGCGCCCTCTGCTAGCTGTCTGAGAGTGCACGTGGGAGTGGCTGGGTAGTGGAGATGGTGTCAGGGCAGTGAGGGCTCCCCCAGGCATCTCAGGGGCCCTGGCAGCTGAGGGGCAAGCATTTGACTCCTGGGAGCTCCGCTCAGTGCCTCTCTCCCTCCTCTCCCCTCCCCAGCCCCCCGCTGCTGGCCAGGGCATGTCGCAGATCCTTGCTTCCTCCCCTTGAGACTTAGCCACGTCAAGTCTCATGCTCGCAGGGCCTGGGGGCTGACCGTGTTACTGGACGTGCTGATTCCTCGTCTGCCAACCATAGTGTCCGCTGCACCCACTGACTTCTAGACCTCTCATCTGCCAGAGCATCTGACCTGACCCCCATCTGTAAGATGGGGAAATGAAGGCCCACAGAGGGGCCGTGGGTTACTCCGGTCACATGGCGAGGTCCAGCATTAGAACCCAAGTTCCTGACCCCACTTCCAGTGCTCTTCGCTATGTCCTGCGGCCTTCCTCTGTCCGTTTTCATTCAGGCAGCAAGTGTTTCCTGAGAGCCGGCTGTGGATCAGGCATTGTAGGGGACACACTTCTGCCCTCCTACTCACAGGCAAATAAGGCACAAAGGAGACCTGGGCGGTGACCCTGTCATGTGAAAAATGCTAGGGTGATGGGAGCCGAGGAGGTCTGGGGAATGTATTAACATGCAGCATACGGGAGGGCAGTGGCTTGCTGGGAAAGTGATTTTCGAGTGATGTCTTAAAGGGTGAATCGGAGACTTCCAGGCCAAAGGGGATGAGTGGAGGGGCCTTGTTCCAAGGGACAAAGGGAACAGCAGTCTGAAGGTTGGAAGCCAGAGGGAGGGGTTGGCCTTGGGGAACGGAGTGGTGGAAGATTCGGCTGGAGAGAGCCAGACTGGGCTGCAGGTAGGGACAGAGTGAGGTGAATGGGCACGGGGGCTGCAGCGGGGGGCACTGAGGTCAGTAGCCGAGGGCCCTGGAGCCAGAGGGAGGGCCGGTCCTGGGAGTGGAGGTGGCGGGTGGCCTCCCCTGTGGGGAGATGGCCCTAGGAGGTATCCCCTGGGTGGGACCTACAGCCCAGGCTTCATGAAATGACACTCAAAGGTCTGCACGGTCCCATACAGTTACATGTAACTCATTATCCTTACATGAATTCAAATCAAATACAATTTAAAATTAAGTTTATCAGTCACACTGACCACCTTTCAGGTCAGTGCTCAAGAGACACCCAAGGCTAGCGGCTACCAGTTGGACAGTGCGGATATAGAGCACATGCATCATCGTAGAAAGTTCTGTGGGACAGCATTGCACTAGGAGCAAGCCACTTCTGGGCCAGCAAAGGTGTCTTGGAGCAACTCAAGGCCTCCCTCCACCCTAGGCCTTCTCTTTCCCACGTGTGCTCTTCCAAGTCGGAGCAAGGAGCAAAGAGCAAAGGGCAAAAGTGAGGAAGCAGAGAGTCAGAGAAGAGAGAAGGTGGAGCGGAGGAAACCCCAGTGAGAAGAAAAGGCAGAGGAGAGCCGGGGAGGCAGTTTTGTTAACAGAGTGATTCTGTGGCACGGACTTACAGAGGGTTCCTGCTCTAAAGGGTGCACAGGCACCCCATGAGTGTAGGGGTCCCAAACCAGGATTCTGGCTGGGCTTTGCCAGCCCTGTGGCCTTCGGCAAGCCATGCCACCCCCAACCTCAGGTTCCTTCTTTTGGGGGTGCTGTGAGACTCTCAGGACATGGCAGGTAGGAGGATGCACTAGAAGGTGCCACCACCAAAGGCTAGGCCCAGGATGGTATGAGTGCTCCCAGAGGGCTCCCCAGGATCTGGGGCAGGCAAGCCCTGCTGGAGCAGGTGAGCCCGGGCCACTCCCTGAGGAACGGAAGAAGGGCGTTGGACAGGGCAGTCCTGAGGAAGCCCGCAGCCTACTCGGTGGCCTGGAGGCCGGATCCCAGGGGCACATGCACACCACCCATCCCAGCGGGGAAAGCAACGTGCTAGGCAGAGACCAAATCTGGGAGGCGGGCGGAAGGCCAGGCCGAGGGGACCCAGTGGGAGCGGAGCCTGGAAGGAGGCAGGCCAGAGGCAGATGTAAGCAGAAGGCCTGGGTCTGAGCGGCCTGGCCACTGGGAGGGGAGGGTCAGGGCGGGGAGAGGAGGACGGGGCGGGGAGCCAGCTTGCGGGGAGCTGGCAGTGTGGCTTCCAGACCTCAGGCCCCCACTCTTCCCCCATCGGTGCCTCTCTCCTGGGCTGGGACCCTTAATGAGCACTCCAGCTGCCTGTTGCTTGGTTTGCTTGCTGTAAAGAAAGGAACTGGAATGTCCCAAATGGAGGAAATCAGATGTCACCCAGGGCTGGGCAGCGGGTGTGCCGTGAAAGAGAAGGGTCTGGGTTTGAGAATAGCCAGGTCCGTGTTGTCGGCCAAGGGGGAGCAATGGGAGTCAGCAGCCACCTTCCAGGTGGGCACTGGGGGATGCCCGGCAGACTCCCCTTCCCTGACAGTAAGAGTAACGGCCTCCCCTGATGGGAGGGTCTCACGTTTATATGGTACATCCGGCAGCCAATGCTGTGCGTGATACCTCTTCCAATCCTCACAGCCTCCCTAAGGGGCGGACACTCTCATCATCCCATTTTACAGATGAGAAGACTGATGTCACTGTAACCTCCAACCTGCTATCGATGATCCAATCCTTCGGGTGTTAAGGGCATTTTCCACCTCCAGGAATTTCCTGGGGGCTGGGGGGTGTTGAAGCTTCCAGGCTAAAATGTTGAGAAACCTGGGGCAGACTCTCTCATCCCTAAAAACAACAATGCCCACCACTGTAACAGAAATGTCTCCCATTTATAGGGTGTGTACAGGGGCCTTTTATTGTTTTTGTTTGTTTGTTTGTTTGTTTGTTTTTCCAGAGGAGCATTCAGGGGAGAGATCAAAGCGGTGTCTGAAAGACTGGGCTCCAGATGGGGGAGTCCTATCTCAGTCCCCTAGGATGGAAATGCCGGAACGGGGATGGCAGTGGGGCCTTACGGGGGATGTATGTGCTGCTGGGGTGGGACCTGGGCCTCGGTAATCAGATAGACCCTGGATCCATGCACCTGTGCATGCAGCCAGCCATGAACCCAGCCTCCACTGCGTCTGACTCTGCGTGTATCAGTGCATGAGTGATCTTGTGGGGAGTTAATGGAGGGAAGATCCTCAGAGCCCCTCAATCCCAGCCCCCTCTCTCTTCTGTTTTCTAAGAAAACTGGTCTGAAGTCTCTGCAACCAGGTTCCACACCACACCTTCTCCCTCCCATATACTTAGTTGTCTGGTCAAGTGGTGGTAAAGACCGGGCATGCCGTGTGTGCTTCACTCCCCATTCCCTGGCCTCAGCAGACATTGCTAATCAATAGCAGCACACTTTCCCATTGAGCTTATGTACAGTCTCAGAATCCTTCTCAACACTGCTCCAGAAAGCTATCATTAAGTAGTGAGAGTTGGTGTTCAAGACCAAGAGCAATTTC